CCGTTTCTTCAGGATTACAACGACTACTACACGCCATACGCTTCCGGAGCGCACACACCATATTCGGGTCAGTCATACAAACGTGTTATACGTGTACTACACATGTATATCATGTTTAAATTATCGCAATGTTGTAATGCCTTGTTTTGTCTGTATTGCCGCATAAATCGTGTATTTCATAGCATTATGTTTGAGCAGTTAATTAAGTCAACAAAAAAATATATTATTCCCAAATCTACACAACAATAATGAGTGCTTTTTTATATATAAGTTATATAAAGCAAGTGTTGTTTATAGCGTTTTTATACGGTTTCATAAATTTTAATAAAACAATAACATTAATAATTGTCATAAAAAAGTAAATAATATGTAATTACGAGCGGAAAGCTTTAGGAAAACAAAACATCATACGTCAAATGAATATACAGTAAAAGTAATTAATGGTAAACCTATGATCTATATATTAATGATATTTACATCAAAAGTGTTATTTTTAGTCATAGATTGGAAAATATTTTCATTGATGTGTTTAAAAATAGATAAAAACAGACAAACATTGATCTATAAATAGATATTAATAGTGTTTTAGAGGCAATCTCTGCCATCCATTAATACACAGGTATTTTTGCTCATTATATTTGTTTCATAGAAAATAATGTATTGTATTGACTGAATAACACGAGTCCACCCATTATTATATAGTAGTATTTGACCGTAAAATTACATAAAATTTATAGCCTTTTGCATAAATAAATTGATGAGACAATAAATAAATCTTTATATAATATTACGGTGTTTTGTGTAATATTCTCAAATATTTGAAATATTTAAACCCAAAGTATATTTGAATATTTTCATTACATGTATTTATATAACAAATATTAGCAAATATTCTTTACTGTGAATACAATAAGTGTATACTTTAGGTATTTTTCAATGCATATGCGCTCTGAAGCCAATAGATATTAGATTAGATGATAATATTGACTGAAAACTGTGTTCAATATTAATAACGAGATTATTGTATAAGTTTCAAAGTATTTCCCACTAAAGCCTTATTAATGCCTTTTAATTCAAGACAACATTTGTGTTGCACTTAAAACACAGAATCCATCGATTATTTTGTGTCTTATTTTTTGGTCGTGTTTTTGTGCCTAACTTTTTGGATAACATTTCGATTACTATTTATTTGGTTTTATATTTATTTTACGACAAAATTGTGCTCCGAATGTAAACAATTTGCTATTGTTTTCGTTGTGTTCAGTGCTTTAATGTGTGTATCAAACCCTAGAAGTGATGTAGAAATTATGATAAATCACTTTACCATAAGTTGTGGTCAATAAACGTCATTACATAAAAAACTAAAGAGTAATAAAATGTTTTTTGTTTCCCAAAATTAATATCGGAAATATAAATATAGTTTTAAATATTACTATTGCTTTAAAGTCTCGATAACAATAGGATTATTACATGTTTTACATATTATAATACTCTTAAGTGTGTAAAGAATAAGAGTATACAATAATATAACTTATTTAAAGTTATTTAAAGAATATGAGAAATAAGACTAATATTTTGATAAATTATGACAGAATTACAAAAGATATAAAATATTAACGTTTATAAATATTATATACAAATATAAGGATATTTGTTTGTAATATTTAATAGCAATTTTATTACAACAATTTTTTATTATGAGAATTGTTATCAATTATACTATACAGTATTTAGAATATAATAATAGTTTTCAAATTAGAAGTATATTTACGTATATAATAAATATAAGGATGTCTTATATGAGAATTAGTAAAAATAATTGTCAATATAGTCTATTGACAATAGATGTAAGCTTTTAAAACATATTTATTGTAATTTTATGCAATTTATGGAAATGTATTTTTATACAAAACCAAAATGCATATAAAATGTTTTGTCTAAAGGTATTTCATTTAAACATTTGCATAATCAGCATATTTAAAATCAAATTTAATTTACCAAGTAGTGAATGATGTTTATTTCTACATCAAGTCTTATGTATCAAAATATAATCTTATTTTTCAATACAGAGAAAATTTAATCAAAATATGAAATAATATTTTAATTAATTCAGTATTATTTCATGCAATATATTACTGTTTTGTGATTAATTTCCGCTCAAATTAATTATAAACATAATTATTATTATAATTAATTGCAAGAGATTTAAATAGTCATAGAAAATAGATGTGTTTTTGTAGACATAAATCGTATTTTTATAACACATTAAATGCATAGAAAATCCTATTTACGGCATACATATGGTTATTATTAAATTAATAGGGATTTATATAATCAATAGATTGTAATCTATTGGCAAACATTTGCAGATTAGGTGTGTTTGACGTATCTATGCATAAATGACAATAGATTTTGCATATAATTATTTGTGATGAATTAATTTAAACCATTCACTGTATTAATGATATTTATTTAAGAGAGAAAATGAGATATTTTTTTATTAAGAAAAAGTAATTTATAAAACTTTTAGTTTTGCACTAAATAAAGCGTGAATACAATGAAATGAGTGAAAAAATCGATGTATAAAATAAATTTGAATAAAATTGATGGCATTATAAAAGGGAGAATAAAATTCTGTAAACATTATAGAAGTTTACATTATTTTTGCCCTCAGAATACACTCGATGTTGAATAAGACAAGGATTCTGTTGTCTATTCAAGAGAGTCATTGAGTAAGTGAGTGATAGACGAGAGAGAGAGAGAGAGAGAGAGAGAGAGACTAATATATTCTATAGATATGACAAACAGAATATTTTCTTACAATAAAAGTCTGCAAAACAAATAAAATTTATTTATTGTTATTTATAAATGAAACAAAAGACAAATTCTTCATCTAATGGAAAACACTATAAGTAATGGATTTATTGTTTGCAAAGAATTTTATTATTAATTACCTTTGTAATAGAAAATTTAATTAATATAAATATATTATAAAATTTAAATCACTAGTTTAAATAATTATCAAGTCATAATAATAATAAACTTATTTAGCAGATTATTGCGGATTATAGAATGATTAAATATGGTACATATTAATACCATTAATACATAATACAGTAATGTATACAACTGTTATAATAAAGTTGCACATAATACATTATTAATAAAATAAATACTAATCAAACAGTAATGATTGCAAACGTGCTAGGGGGACTTATTTTATTGACTTTATATTAAATCTTCATCAGTTATACTGTATGAAGCAATTTGTATCATATCGTTGGACAACAAATATCATTGCAGTGTATATTTGTTTATAACTTTGATTACTATTTGATAACAACCATTTGGGTCATAATACGTGCAAATCTGTTTGAATAATTCACCAAACTCAATTCAATTACTGAAAATGTATGATAAATACAGCATTTGAAATACAATACTATTTATAGATAACAAACAGATAGTCATTAAAATCATTAACAAAACTAGAAAACAATTAAAGTGTTATTAAGTATCAAAATAGTGGTCATTACTATTATTGTAATTGTAATAAATTTAAACAGTAATTAAATAGTTGTTAAAACTGTTATTAGTCTATAAATTACATAAAACATAAAATTAAAGCCAAAATTCATACGATTAAAGGGACGACAACTCCGAAACGTCGAAACTCGACGAACCCTTTCGAGACATCGCCGGAAGAGGAGGTGAAAGATGTGCTGAGCGGCGGCCACTCGCCGGTGGCCACGACTATCGCCGACATGACCGCAGACTTTTACAACGCGATCAGCGCTAACTCATACGAACCGCCGACGGCGCCCGACTCCTTCAAGTCGTCGCCCCCCGTGTCGGCCAAACTGCCGGACCTGACGGGCAGTGGCAGTAGTGGTGGCCAACCCTTTGACCCGTTCGCCACCATTCACGACGACGACACGCCTAAGCGCCAGTCGGTGGGCGACGACGGGTCCACCGGTTCGGCACTCGTCGCCCATAAAGTGCTGTCACCGGACGGTATGTGCGGCGGAGGCGGCGATCCCTTCGCCTCACACGGCATACACAGCCCTCCGTCGCCGGCACTGCCGCCGCCCGACCAGTCATTTCTGTCGGCGATCGGCGATCACACGGACTACTTGTCCGATCTGTCGGACATCGAAGACAACGCCGACATCAATAAAGACTATCGAAACGATAGCATAAATACATATAATAGTAATTACAATAATTCCGTTGTCGACGGCTCTAATGGTTCCCGAAGAAGAAGCAGTGCCTTTCAAATGGAATTATTAGAAGGTTCATGATCACATATTTACCACAATCATTTAAGACGATAATGTTAATACTGAAACCACTTTATATGATTAGGTGATAAGGACTCGCCGGCGCCCACGTTTGAGCCCCTGCCGGCCACTAATATACTACAGCGTAAGCAATCGCTTCCACCTCCGGAACCGCCCGAAGAGTTGATCGATGTCTCCAATTCATATCAATCGGCCATCACTTCCACACAAAACCCATACTTCGATCCGTTTCAGACTGTCTTCGATAAGGATCCAGAAGAAGATGTCATCACAGAAACGGCCTTCAATTCACAGCCTATTGTGACTGAGGTTTGCATTCAGTCGTTATCTCAAACAGTATTTATGCATAAAATTCATTAAACTTTAATTAATTATTATACTTATAGATCACAAGAACCGAGAGCTTAGACAAGTCGACGACAAACCGGAGACGACTGTCCACTCAGGACTCCATACAAGACTCGGGTCAGCCCAACAAAGACGCCGTCGGTATCATAAACGACGCCTTCGACGAGAACATCGTTGAGCCAATTGTTGAGCCAATTGTTGAGCCAATTGTTGAGCCGATCTCTGACCCCATCGGTGGCGACACCGACGGCATCGCCGACATCACCGACACCATCGGTCAGTCGGGTGTTGTGTCCGGCGGTTACGACGACTACTACACCGGCGGCGACGCCGACATCAGCGGACACGAGTTGGACTCGCAGACCAGTGACGGCACAAACGCCCAGCACTCAGGCTCCGTCACGACCGTCGACGCGACCGCCAATGCCGTCACATTTGGCGCCACAACCACTACGACCACCGACTCGGGTGTGGCCGCCGGTGTGTCCGCTATGGACGACATAACCGATTGCGGTAAAGACCCGTTCGACACGTCGGACTTCGATTCGGCCGCATTCGACGCCTTTGCCAACAAGTTTGACTCGACCTCCGGTGCCGGCACTGCCGACAACTCAATAGTCGCCTCATACGACCCGTTCGCCTCTCCCATGAAGATAGCGAAGAAAGCGGACGATAGCGCGGCTGTGGCCGCCGCTGAAGGGGACGTGTTTGACATCTTCGACCCGTACGCCAACCGACCGGCACTCAAGACGCCTAAGAATACGCCGGCGAAGAGTTTCAAAGACTCCCAGAAGGACTCGTTTGATGACTACGGGGCCGACGATAACCTCAAGATTGTTATCAGGGCTAAGATGAAGGACAACGTCGACGGTAGTAAAGGACTGCAATTGGGTTTGTTTACATTCAAACACAACTATTTATCAAATATATTATAAACTAAAATGATGATTAAAATATATCATTAACTATAATAAATGGTTATATTGTTTAAACCATATTGTTTAAATATAAATGTTTATTACAACTTTAATTTAAACTTAAACAAAAATATTATGTTAATTAAAAATTGACGAACTTATAGCGTATAAGTTTCTAATTAACATGATAACTCTCCTCGGATTGATTCCCATTATTCAAAATGGGACATATTTAGCCTAATATGATTTTTACTATTGTTACATATTTACAGTTTATTAAAACCTAATACATGAATTAAACACATGTATTAAAGATTATCTGCATCAATTTTGACAACTAATTATGCATTAAATTAATTAAAATCTAGTTAATTTTATTTTACTTTATATAACACTGTATTTATAACACACTTTTTGCAATTAATAAATTTAAATGACATTGTATTTGTGTGAACAGCGCCTCCACTACTGCCACCGCCGCCAAAATCTCCCAAATTCTCTCAACTGGAAGGCATGGATCTGATGCCGGGAGAGGACGAAGTGGTTGTGGACGAGTTCGAGGCGTTCTTCGGCGCCGGACAGTTGTCCGAAGCGGCCCAACACGTGATGCCTGCGGGCGGCGAACAGGAGTGGCCGACGGCTTTCGGTGAGGCGGCGTCCAGAGAGAGGGCCGACTCGACTGAATCGCCGCAAACGCCGCTCTACGACGAGGATACGTCTCAGCCGTTGGAGGACTTCCCGCCCAAATACGTGGGCGACGGCTGGGAAATGCTGTTGCGGTACCCGAACAAGAAGAAGCTGACGGCCAACCGGTGCTGGAAGAAGATCTATGTCAAGTTTGTCGCCGACAGCTGTATATTCCAGTTGTTCAACAAGAAGGAGGACAACAACCCCTTCCAGGAGACGCCACTGCAGGCCTCGTACTCGCTGTCCGACATCTCTACCCAACAGTACGATCAATACGGAAAGATATTCACAATCAAATTGCAGTATATCTTCTATCGGGAACGGGTGGGCGTACGGCCCGGACAGATAGCCAAGGTATGGCACCCACACCTGTTGTAGTAATTGTGTTTTAACCACGTATTTGTGCGCACAGGTAATGCAGGGCCAGATCACATCGATGGGTCAGTTCGCGAAGTTGGGTATGCCTTTAGAGCACGCGCCGCAAGTGTCGGAACTGTTCAAATTGGGTTCGCAGACCTATACGGACCTCAAAGAGATGCAACTCGTGGTGGAAGAGGCGCTGTTCAGGACCACAATACACAGGGATCGGGCGCTCACTTACAAGACCGAAGAGATCCAGTGCGCCGTTCAGGACGAGCTCTATGTCGAGCAAAACAAGATGGGAATCATTACCAAACAGTTGGCCAGAGTTCGCATCTTTTTTCTCGCCTTTGTTAACGGTTTGTCAAACACTTCTTATTTAACTAATCACTAGTCAATTCTCCCACTTCTCCCCCCTCTACCACCTCCCGGCCCTTAGACCTCCCATTAAATAATTTTACATTGTGTAAAAAGTTGCGAACAAAATGTTAACTCATAAATGCATGTATATAATTTTGTGCGCAAACCCAGGTATGCCTGTCATCGAAGTGGGAATTAATGACATGAAACGTCAGGGCAAGGAAGTGGTCGGAAGGCATGACATCATTCCGGTGGTGACCGAAGAGTGGATCCGTTTGGAGGACTACGAGTTTCACTGTTGCGTTCAGCCCGAAGACTTCGAAGCCACGCGTATACTGAAGCTGATCCCACCGGA